ATTATTTTATTATTATTATTTTTTGTAGTCTGTAACACGTGCATTAGCTATTTTAATAAGTTGTACCACACGGCTATCAAGCCTCTCGTGAAAATTAGTACAGTCAGATCGAGGTCAGTGCGCTGTTCGTCGAACAGACGTTTTGGGGTGTATTATTTCATTTCATTTCATTTATTATTCCCTCAGGGCCCGAAGGCATTACAGAGGGGAGTGGGCGGTCGACAGATAAAAATAACATAGTTGAACGAGGCAAAAATAGAAAAAAAAACAAAAAACACACACACACACACACAGCAAAAACACGCGCTACGCATCATCTGTTAAAAAGTTGGTAATAGCATTTTTAAAATAAACAGTGTTAGTTATTGAGACTATATGTGCGGGAAGGCGATTCCAATCAATGGAGGTTTGGGGTAGAAAAGAAGCATTAAAAGTGGATGTGCTACAATGGGGAATCCCTACCTTTAGGTCATGGTCTACACGTGATGATATGTACGATGGTTCTAAAAACAATGCTTGACGGAGAGCGGGGTTAGAGTAATAAATCTTGTGAAATAAACATAGACGAGATATTTTTCTTCGGAGAGAGAGATCAGGTAAGGAGAGGGACGATTTCATGGAAGTTACACTGGCTGTACGATGATAGTTCGAGAGTATGAAACGGGCAGAACGATTCTGAATAGATTCGACAGCTGATGCAAGGGTGATACCGGGGCCCCAGATAGAAGCTGCATATTCCAGTTTAGGACGAACTAGGGTTTTATAGAGGAGAAGTTTTAACGAAAGAGGAGCAAGCGAAAAGTTACGTTTGAGATAGCCCAAAAGCCTATTTGCGTTGTTAGTGACATATTGGACGTGGATATTCCAGGAGAGGTCGTTGGTTATGTGAATGCCGAGATATTTATAGGAGGACACAGAAACTAAAGTAGAATTGTTAATAGAGTAGGAAGGACAAGTGTTGTTATGACGAGATACTCTCATAGATGTACATTTAGTGATGTTAAGCTCCATGAGCGATTCCTTGCACCATTTGCAGATGTTGTTAATATCAACCTGAAGGGCGGAAATGTCAGAGTCGTTAACTATATCTTTATAAATTACACAATCGTCAGCGAACAAACTAATAGAGGAAGAAACATGCACAGGAAGGTCATTGATATAAATAAGAAATAAGAGTGGTCCGAGTACGGAGCCCTGAGGGACACCGGAGTTAACAGGTGAGGGCGAAGAATTAGTGTCATTAGTTCGAACAAATTGGAAGCGATTCGTTAGGAATGATTTTAGGAATGAATGGGACAAAGAATGTAAAAATACACCTTTTTTTTTAAGAGTGTAGTTTTTGGTATGCCCACTAATCTTTCCCAGTAGAGCTCGGCGTTCTGATGTTCCCGCGTGCTCTCGTCTCCTCTTCTCCCTTATTTTCTCGGCGCATTGCGACTACCTAAAAACCATCATTTGGGTCTCTAAATGAGCTTCGCATATTTGCCACTGGGTGCAGTCTTTATGTGGAAAATATCCAATAAAGTGTTTTGGTAGATCGTTCTCTTACCACCGATATCGATACCCGGTGACGAGACGATGCATGCGCAAAGGCGTCGGCGGAGTATCGTGTATCGTTATCGGAGTCATCGGAACGATCGGGTGAAACTCACTATTACCTAAATGTGACATGCGTCCGGGCTCCTTCAAACTTTAGCTTGCTTGCAACACTCAGGAAGTTGCGCGCCCGTCTCTGTTGCCGAGCTCGCGGAAAGAAAAAACGGGAGACAGTAGGGAGTTTCCGCAGATGGTTTTCGCCGTCTGCGAAAACCATAGCGGGTTGCGGAGTGCGTTGGCAACGCAACGCACTCAGCAACCCGCTACGATACCCGAAACTCTACAGCCAAGGCCATCGGCGCGCAGCCGCAGTAGCGGCTTCTTGGTTACGAAAGGGCTTAGCAAAGGGGGAAACGTGGTCTACGAAATCTCTTAATGAAGGCCGCATTTCGCAACATCAATACCAACATGCAAAAAAAAAAAAGCGAAAAAAAGAAACACGAGTAAATTTATTTCGCCGTATGCTTTTTTTTTTTTTTTTTTCATTATTAATAGTTTGTTTTGCAGTTTGCACGAGAGCTTCCGGGTTGTGTAGCTTCGAAGGCCACCGTCGCCGCCGCCCGATGGCACGGGCAGGGGCAGTCGAGGCCGGGCTTTTTTTAGCCACGGTCTTGGCCGCGTTCGCGCTCTGGTAGCGACCAACTGCCGACGGGAGTAGTTCGAGCCGATAGGCGCTAGCTGCCTCGTCTGCTCAACGCTGAAGCGTCTGTGCGCTCGCAGAACACGAACAAGGACTGCGCCCCAGCAATCGCTGGCATCGGCTACTTGGTCGAAAGCAGCGATGGAAACATCCCTCAGTGAGCGACGTCTTGTCAATATCTCGCATGGAACGCGCCGCAGAAACCGCGCTCACACTGCTCATTCCACAGACGACCACTGTCTGCGGCTCTTCCTTGGATAAACGGTCCCGTCAGATTGGCCGCGCCAAAGCGTCTGCAAACCTATTCGAGGCATGCGTACAAATTTTTCGACCATGTCTGTAACGCGTTACCTCTAACGCGTTACTCGCACATAGTTACGTTTTCCAGTAACGAAGTAACCGCCAAAGACTAATTTATTTTTATTACTTTTTGTTGTAGTTATGAGTAACAGTATTTATAGTTACTTAGAGAGGGGAACGATTACAACACAAGTACCGAACCTATGCGGGGCGCAAGTTCGTCTGCTTCTATTGCAGGGGTTGTTGTGACGTCAGAGAGACGCCGAGCTCTCATTGGCTCTGATTGCGAGGATAGTGGGTAGACCATGAAGCAAGCTGCCTTGAGGCCTATCCACTCCTCTTCCATCAGAGCCAATCAGAGCTCGGCATTCTGACGTCATCACAATCCCTGCAAAAGAAGCAGACGAAATTGTGCCCCGCATAAAGTTCTCGCCCGAGCTCGCGCCTGTAACTTGCACGACGAGAAAACGCTGATAGATTATAAAAAGTATGTACACAAGGTACGGTCAGGGTACAGTGTACGCACAGCTACCCTGAATGAACGCGTTAAAAAGCGAGGAATTATTAACAACGACAAATATTGGAAGCGCCTACAGCTTTATAAAAACGACACGTTCGAAGTAACGAGAAAATAACGCGTTACTTTCAAGCTGATGTACCGCATTCCCTTTGAATCGTAGTAAGGAGTAACGTACTTTGTTACTTTTTTGAAGTAAGTAACGAGAAAGGGTATTTAATTACTCTATTTCAGTCACGTGCACATGTCTGATTGAAACGTTAGTTGAGGCGTGTCCGCACATGCTTTTGTCGTCATGTCTGTAGCGAACGCCGTGTTTTGTACGAGAGATGGACAGTGTGGCTGCGCCTTCAAGGTCACGCCGTCTGAACGTTGCGTTGCTCTTCGTGCGAACTGACAGTCTTGCGAAGGGTCGAGGTTAACATCATATCTTTTGACCGTGCGCCCACACGGAGTAGTTGCCCGATTTCACCCTTTCGCAATCCGGAACGGATTGCGAAATAGCGGAATCGATACTCGAAGGTCAGCCCTGAGTTTGAAAGCGGGAAAGTAGAGGAACGGATTCTGATGGCTCGAATTTGGGAAGCTAGACTATGCCCTTTACAATTTTCTGTCGTGGGGTTCGAAGGTCCTTGGCGAAGTTGTTGCGAGCGCGTAGTGGTGACGCCCTATTCATTCATTACCTTTGTTCGACTAGAAGGTAAGACCTCAATCATCAGTAGAAGTTCAATTGTTAGACCATAAGGTCACACTGTAAAGATCCGTGCAGCATTTAATTCGGATAAGTTTTGAAAGGACAACCACGGCTTCGCGGCGACAGTTTTCAACGGCTCATTACAAAAAAAAAAAAAAAAATGTTAACTCACCTGGCATTCACGTAAACGCCCGACCATTCGCTAATGTGTCTTTCGGTGAGAAGTCAGCGTTCGCTAAAACGTTCGACCAACTGAGTGCCGCGCCACCTAAACTCTATTTTCATCGGTGACATGGTATCTATGGGAATCCTTTTTCGAATTCCTGATTAAAAGGCGTGTGCAAATACTGTTTCGAATCGAATGGCACAGAGTCATATCCCTAGCTTCGACACTGCAAAGTGGGTCAGTATTACATAGGGCGCTGTGAAGGCTATTGATCACTCAAGTTCGGCGTTAGCATTCTGCTGTTACTGGCGCAGTGACTAGTTGAAGCTAATCGCTGCTCCAACGAAGAAATCTCACGAGCAGATTTAATTTTAGTTTCAAAGTTTTCAAAGTTGCGCTTTACAGATTTCTCAAAAGATCCTTTATGCAAATTCAGACTCGGAAAATTTAAGACTTCATAGGCGACGTCTCACCGAATAGAGTCAAATGTCCTAAGCTCCTTGAAATTTTTGTTTTATTGGCCTAATATGAGCAGTCACCGAAAAGGCGTCTGTTCCTGCAATGTTACGCTGAAGCACGGTAGGGATACCATGCAGGTAATCGTTCGTGCTACACTAGATGTTAACCGGTTAAAATATAATCGCTTCCGTAAGACTCTATACGTCAGGGCAGACTGACTTTCTGTCGTGTAACTATTGCAACTCGCAACTTCGTATAATTGCGTTCGTAGTTAGAAAGGACTTCCCAAGCAAAATTAGGTTATGAAATGCTTTATCAGGAAAGTGCACCGTTGTTTCTCCTTCGCCGTAAAGCTGAGCGCACCCTCGCCTTTGCAGCGGCCACGTGTCTCAGCAGCTGTTTGTCAACACCGGAGTGCCGGGATAAACGGAAGCCATAGGTCGCTCCGCAAATAGTCACGCCGCTCGCAGCGGAACGGCGGAACTTTCAAACCCTCAGTCCCATTATAGCGGCTGGTTGACATCCGGGATCGTCTCGACCGGCATGACGACACAAAATCGCGCCATTACCATCCGGTTCACGTGACAGCCCGGCGGCGAGTCACGTGCCCCGTCGCTTAGCAACGGGGCGACAAGCCAGACACTCCGCGCGTGTGCAGTGGACGCTCAAGGAAAATTCCGCTTCTCGGTGCTTCGAGTAGGATTCGATCCGGGCGGAGCGCGGCATCGATTTTCGGGAGCTGCAGCTGCGCATAAAAGCGACAGCGCTCACAGGCGCCGGTCTAGCTGAGAGAGTTCTCTTGTCGTTCGAGTCGCATCTTCAGCTTCTTCGGGAAGGACGGTAGGACGACCTCTCTTTTGATTCTGATCCTTTCACTTTGTAGCGTGTCGTGCTGAGCCTGTGTTTTCTGTTTCAGTCGCTTCTCCTGCCCACCGGGGCTTGGGTGCGCGCTCCTTCTCCTGAGGATGGGCAGCCGTCCTCAGGAGAAGGGCTCTTGTCGGTCTCACCCGGAGAAGACCGCCCACGTCTGGCGCTATTGGAGACGCAGCTCGGCCCCGATCAGCTGCTGGCTCGTTGCCACGACTTTGACCACGGCGATTGTTCCAATCAACCTATCAAAAGTGCAAAACCACCGTCCTGCCTAACAATAAGCACTATCTGGTCAGATATTATACGAAAGTCTGGGTTCCGAACGTTACTTCCGGAAACTGCCAAGCTCCCTTGCACTTTCGAGGTTGTTTGTAACATGCCTGATGGTGCTTCGTTCGTAGTTGTAGCTATTTGAATCCTGGAAAAAAATGGACCATTCTATGTAGCACCCGTCATAGACCAATTCTTGGCAGCACTTTGCCGTGTGCTTGATCACTTCTGTCCAAGCCGGTATTGTCCGTCTATGACTGTTGCTGCTTAGGACGTGTTCTTGGCAGCGAGCCAGCTTGCGTCGTTCATTAGATTGTCGTCCGGGCATGTCTAAATTTTTCTTTTTTCTTAAAATTCAATATTAAGTGCACACTTGCGAAAACTTAACGAGACCTGACGATGTGGCTGAGGAATTCTGCATGCTATGAACATCGTGCGTGTCCAATGATCTCATCGATTCGCGGCTGTGCATGCCAAAGACCAAACGAGATGTATCAGTGTTTTCTCATTTATATTTCCATGAGATAAATCAATTCAGACCATTCGTGTGCCCTGTATTCTTGCCATCGAGAGTGCCTCTTCCCAGTGGTGGCGTGCCGGTGACGCTTTTTGCCGAAGTCCCACGACCCGTCACCTCTAAAAGCAGTTTGTCCTCCAGAGGAACAGTATCTCGCTGACGTGTCTTGTGCGTGGCGGACTGTCCGACTTCCCCGGTGACACTGCTGTCATTCCCGCTCTCTTTCGTCCGTAGGCGTCCAGCTACAGCCATCATGTCAAGTAAACATGTTTCAATTAAATAATGTCGTACTTTTTGCACGTGGGAGCGTAAAGTACCCGAGCCAACATGGACTACCTTCCAGCACCGACACTTGTCCAAAATGATTGTCCTTGTCAGTACTTTTCAATCAAAGGTGCTGAAATTCTCTAGGGTATTTAGAACCCTTCTAGATGTAACTATATCTCTGTACTGGCTTTAGCTTCAGAAATTCTTTAGATGGGAGGGAAGTAAATTGTGTCGTACATGGATGGTTTGGATGGAGATTTATGCTGCGGTTTTCCGTGCGACAGGTGTCCTAACTCGATGACCCAACTCTTCAGGTTAAAGATTCTATTATGAGCCCCTGATGACATTAATCCAGCCCTGACGTTATTTCTCGGAGCACTTGGCTCGGTGCCAGTGACAACGTTCAAACACCCGCTATAGCAGAGACGAATGTGCGTCTATGTATGCGTTTGTGTGAGCGTGTACAAATATAGGCGCATTCCTGGGGGGGTCGTACGCGACAGACCGAGACGTGTGGCGCACGCAGAGCCGACAGTCAGACTTGCATAACGGGAAGAATGTCGCCGGGAGGGTTGCAACCGGTCTGACGGCCCGTGGCGCGACGTCTTCGCGTGTCGCGGGTCTCGCGGGCAGTAGCGGTCGCGGTGGAGCGAGCACGGGGGCGATATCCGCTCTCCTGTTTTGGCATCGGAGCAGATCGCCGCGTGGCCGACATGGTGAAGGTGGAGATCGAGAGCCCCGGCGTGCGCTACTCGGCCGAGCACATCGAGGCGGACTACCTCTACTCTACGTCTGAGGTGAAGGTGGATGGGCCTGTGTACCGCGTGAGGCCTCGCGAGGTGCGCATGACCTTTAGGACCAAGCGCCGAGTACCCAGGCTGGGCGTCATGCTGGTCGGCTGGGGAGGCAACAACGGCAGCACCGTCACTGCGGCCACGCTCGCCAACCGGATGGCCCTCTCCTGGAGGACCAAGAACGGCACGCAGGTACGTTTCGATCGGTGGACCGGGGACTGAACCCTTTGTAACAGGCGGTAGCTTGCACCACGTAGTCTGAAGACTTTAGGAAATACACTATTCTTCCCGTCTTATTAAGCTACCGTATATCTCTATGACCTGCGGCCATAAGGCTGGTCAAAAAATGTTATAGAGGACGGAAAGGGGGGGGGGGGGGGGGGAAGTTGCTTTTTTGCTTTTTTTCTTTCGGAGGGGGAGTCGCCAAGTTTCCTCTCGTCAAACCTTGTCGGCGTCACTCCGACACCAGATCCACTGGGGGATAGCATTGAGCAAACCAAAATATGGTTTGTTTAGGATGGCGATCAACAAAAGTAAGGAGCCTACGGTGTGATAAGAGTTAGAACCCCGTTGCCGTTACTGTCGGGACATCTACCGTCATCGCTGTGTGATAAATTGTTATTTCAACTTGCAGTACTAGAAAAAGGAGTTGGTGACTTATCCTCAAGTTTCTTAAATCCGGGGCGGTCTTACGAACAAAGTAATGGATCCCCCCAAAACTCCATTCGATATGTCTTAAAATGCGCTACAATGTCTCCCAGTCAGGCGATGGAGAGGGACAAGTCAGATTCATGAAACAGTCAGATTTTTGTGCTTTAAAAGCATGAAATGATTTTTAACGAAACTTTACGAAAAACGAAATCCCGAAATTTGGTCCGTTTGTCCGTCCGTCCGTCAGTGCGTTTTCCGGTAAATTTAGCGGAGAAAGGGGCATCACGTGACCTCACGTGACCAATACACCTTGGGGAAATTGACGGCGCGTGACCGATACGTCAACTCAGTTTCCCCGCTAAATGTAGCTGGAAACTGCACGTCTTGTGGCCAAAATATGAATTCAGTTGCCCAGCTCAATCGAAAAATAGCGTCGCGTGACATATATGCTCCAATTTTGTTTCGCCGCGAAATTTAGCGGGAAAATATACGTCACATGACGCACCAATTCCCTCATTGCTCCCTCCTCTTTCTTCCTCCTCTTCCCCCTCCTAGCAACACTTTCTAGATAACCCTAGGGGATGTTGCTCCCAGGGTGTTTCACAGCATGTCATGCATTATAAGACCTTCATGGTCGATGCCAATTTGTGTTGTTTAGGTCACAGGTTAGCGATCCGGTTATTCACTAGTCTAGCGTTTTGGTTTAGCGTGTAATCAGTCGAAAGGGGTGAGAGCAGTGACATATAAAAAAAATGAAAGGCGTTTACACTTATCCGTACTGCTGAATTTTGAGGAGGAGGAGGCGAGGGTACGGAGAGGAGTCGAGGCCCCTCCTCTCCTCTTCGCCTGCTCCCCTCCCATTTAGCGGGAAATTTTCGCTAAATTTCCTGCTACATTTAGTGAAAATTTTCTAAAGTTAGCAGAGAAATTTTCTTGCTAAAGATAGTGTTGAAATCTTTCCGTTAAATTCAGCGGAAAAATTTCCCCGCTAAATTTAGCAGAAAAACTTTTCCGCTAAATTTAGCGGGAAAATTCCCCCGCTAAGTTTAGCGAAAATATTTCCCCGCTAACTTTAGCGGGGGAACGCCCCATAACGCAACGCGCGGTTAAGTCAACGCCGATGGCGACGCCGACACCGCTCAACCCGGAAAGGGGGCGCTTAAGAGCTGCGCTCTAAAACGCTCGATAACGTCTTTATTTTGCTGCCTTCAAAAGAGAGTAAAGGTCAATAAAGCATAATCTCATCCTTAGTGATTGCAATACCGCACACTGTTTTTTTTTTTTTAAGTCGGAACATCAAGAATTTGTTGATGAGGCTGTTAAATTTATTGACAGGGGGCAACTCGACGTATTAGACATGGGGAATTTGTAGAGAGCTCATAATGGGATAGCTACATCAATAGCAGTGAATTGAACTTATAAAAAAAAATCTTAAACGAGCAATGACTCTATATACGGCAAAGACGCACAGCTCAAATAAACCGTTACCTGCCGGTGAGCAATAAGAAACAATGAGCCTCATGCGACTTAAGCTACGGCGAGATAGTACAACGAATTCATGTAGAAGACAATTTTTACTTCACTCTCGCGCTTTCGATTAGTGTTCTGTGATCAGTCAATCGCGTATTGGCCGAGAAATCTTCAGCTTTTATTTTTTATAATATCTGACATTTGGAGCACTCATTTGGTTTCCGATTTCTCATCTGTCAGAAATACCAGGCTGAAACAATACTTTATGGCGAATTTCACTGGTCGTTTTGGAGCGCGTCGGGATCGACTTTTCTGGAGCGAGCCTATTTCACTGGGCGATCGGGATCGAGACCGACGTGTTTCACAGGTCGTTTTGGATTAGCTCCCGCTCCAGATCTCGATCTGGATCCGAGAAAAGTCGCTCCCACGATTTCGGCGGATTCAACCGGATGCCAGCCGGGCCAGCCCTCGGCGCACACACGTGACTTCCTTGCTCGTGGGGCATCTCGCCTGATCTCGCCCATCTCGCCGCAGAAGAAGAAGAAGAAGAACGTCACGTGCTGGGCTCCTAGATTATCTCGACATCAGAAAAATTCGTAATGGCCGCTTGCTTACCCCTTGGCTCGACAGCCGGTTCGTTTTCCAGGAAGGAGAAGAGAAGGTATTTGCCGCGCTACGGGCATTCCGGCAATCTTTGCTAGAAGCGCCTGAGCCATTCGTGCCGCTTGTGCGTCAAACACGTGTTTTAGCGCCGCGATTGCGAAAACGTCTTCGAAACGACCGCTGCGGCCGCGGAAAGGGGATTCCCGGGCAGTTGAATGACGGGAAGGCATCCGCCGATCCCGGAGCAGTGGTCATGTTCCATTGGGGATCCGTAGGCGGCGCGACCCCGTTCGGATCGTGTGCTCTAGTCCGGGTCTGGTCAACTGATCCCGGCGCGCTCCAAAACGCCCAGTGGAATTCGCCATTAGATTGAGCATATTCCAGTTCAATTCGCTCGCTATCCTTCCGTGAAATTACCAAGTCAAATTAGGATTTTGTAGTATGTAAAGAAGCTCATTGGGTAATTTTCATTTGAGTTAAATTTCCCAGGCAAGGAATACATTTAATCAGTTTGTTGACCTGCTGAGTTTCAAGCATAATGGATCCCAAACGTAGTGTCCCAAAGTATTTCTGTCCTTAATCTCCATCTTTACTGCGGAAAAGAGCTCATCGCCACGTATTTAAGACAGCTCGACATCTTGCAGCTGTCTGCACAAATAAGCGCGAACAGAAAGAGAGTGGGAGAGAAAAGGTAGTGCCGCAACCAACGAGTTGTGATGGTATAGTGCCGCAACCAACAAGCTGTGAAGAGATAGTGCCGCAACCAAGGGGTTGTGAACAGAAACTGCCGCAGCCAATGAGTTGAGAACTATCTTTTACGGCCACCACCTTTGTGTCGCAGAAAGCCAACTACCTGGGCTCGATAACTCAAGCGTCGACGGTGAGCCTGGGCACGGGCCCCGAGGGCGAGGTCTACGTGCCTCTCAAGGACCTGCTGCCCATGGTGAACCCAAACGACGTGGTCTTCGACGGCTGGGACATCTCGAGCGCCAACCTGGCGCAGGCCATGCGCCGCGCCAAGGTCCTGGACGTTCAGCTTCAGGACCAACTCTGGCCCCACATGGAGAAGATGAAGCCGCGGCCGGGCATCTTCGACATCGAGTTTGTGGCCGACAACCAGGCGGAGAGGGCCGACAACGTCATACCTGGTGAGGCCACGGGGCGACACCTTCCGATGCATGGCTTGCTTTGACGTTACATCAGTGACGGATGTCCTTGCCGCTGAACGCGTACTGTCTGCAACAACACAGTTTGCACCATGTACCAGATCTTTTTTCTGCAAGAGTAAGTTGAAGTTACCACCATAATGCGACGGCGTCACGCCTATGTCATGTATGCTTTTTACGCACAGGGATCTCAATATATATTTACGCCAAACACACTTGAACCCCCAGTGGCGCATCAGATCGCGCACCCGACGCTGCGCGCGACCCTCGACTTGCTCTAATTCGTATACCAACATGCGTAAATTTGCGAGTCCGTAAAATATACAAGAAAAGACAAAAAATAAAAAAAGCGATCGGTACAGGGATGGGTAAACAGCGCTTCACGTTTCTTCTACTTGTTCCTGTCTTTGTTCCACTCTTTCATTTTAATTGCTATCCAGATTCGATTATCCTTTCAAATCCCTCGGCATAAATGCCATTCGAAATGCCCGTGATAGTCAGGTGTGTCAGTTTTTGGACAGGGAAGACGCCCGTCAGTTCAGCTGAACTCGACCGTCGCTGCACTAACTAGACTTTGCAAAACAGTGTCCATGAAACTTGAACGAAGCAGACACCGCCTATTGCAATAAGAGTGGCAACGCGCAGCTGTTCCTGCAGGATCTAAAAGCCACATCCGCGCTTTTGTTGATAACACGTGGCCTGCAGCGCCCAGGTATCCGGGGTTCAGTTTCGATCTGGGTGAGCTTCGTACCGCCTGAACCTGCGCAGGGTGGTTTTCACGACTGTCATTTTAAATTTGTCGGAACATATAAGGCTTAACGCTTTTGTTTATTTAAATGCCCCCCCCCCCCCCCTCCCTCGCAGTTTTTATCAGATGTTAATGAGGGACACCACTGTCCCTCGTTAACATCTAACCATTCAAAGCTCTTATATTTGAGCTTTAAAATAGAGAGTGTCTAGTCTAAGTGATCGAATATGTGAACCTGAATTTGGGACCGCGTGGTTTTCAGGAACCAAGAAGGAGCAGCTGGACCGAATCCGGGCGGACATCCGGGACTTCTCCAAGAAGGTGGACAAGGTCATCGTGCTGTGGACGGCCAACACGGAGCGCTACTGCGACGTCCTGGAAGGCGTGCACGACACGGCCCAGAACCTGTTGGCGGCCATCGACCAGGGTCACAAGGAGATCTCGCCGTCCACCATCTTTGCCGTCGCCAGCGTCCTCGAAGGCGTGCGTTGCCTTTCTTTCAAACTGGGGCAACTGAATACGATGGAGCCAGGGCTCCTCCGCGTTCATTTTCCCTTCGCCGTCAGCTCAGCGTATTATCGGCGTCGATGCGTATACGCTGTCACATGCGGAAACGCCGTTTAAGAGTACTGCAGAGAAGCGACCTTTCGGGGCATTCAAATTACAGTTCCTGTATTCCTTTTAGATTGGAAACTATTTCAATCAAGACCAGCAGGCGCTTGTCTATGTACAATGTTGTGCGCCTCTCCAGGTGGAACCGTAAGACAGTAATGGAATCTGTGTGAAATATGGCTGGGCACTTGGCGCACCCGGCCGAGCTAGCTTTTGGCATGCCCTCAATGGAAGTTACGGCGAGCCGCCCCCTTTACAAAGGGGTCGCTATAAAATCCGAATCACCCCCCCCCCCCCCTCTCCGCCAAAAAAAAAAAAAATTACTTTTTAGAGTTTGTTTTGATCAACGTTTTCAGAAACCCTTTGTTTGTGTGTGTGTGTCTGTTTTTGTGTGTGTTTGTGTGTGATCTTGTAGTCATGTGTAATCAACCGCGTTTTGGCACTGCCAGCCTTGCGCTCGTTGCACGAGGGGTAACCTTAGCGCACTTCCGCGCTTCCAACACGCCCCAAATCATTCTAAAATTGACTTATGTAGTGGTTTTCGGTGACGCTCACCAAGTTTTTGATTAAAACCACATATTCATCTTTAATAATTAAGAAGTTAATTAACAAATATTAGATAATTAAATGGCTTATCATGAGGAGTATCCTTCTTTACTGTGGCCCCCTGGCGGTATAGTTCAACTGCACAGACCGCAGTGTAGCTCTCACGACTTGTCTACAACAAACCTGAAAACCTAATAAAAACGACCTGTATTGTTTTACTCGATCAATAGCCTATTTTACGCTAATGCAAAAGGGCTAACTCTTATTTAGGAGCAGTCATCCAGCATAAATCCTTAAATACTTTTTTTTCTGCCAGAAATTGTTTATGCAGGTGGCAATCACGTGAAATTGTCTCTTAATTGAGTTCCTGTTTCAATTCCATTATTTTCACGACATTGCGTTTTGCGTTTCGTGTGCAGTGCACCTACATCAACGGTTCCCCTCAAAACACCTTCGTGCCGGGCCTCCAAGAGCTTGCCCGGCAGAAGCGCACATTCCTGGCGGGCGACGATTTCAAGTCCGGTCAGACCAAGCTCAAATCTGTCCTGGTGGACTTTCTCATCTCGGCGGGCATCAAGCCGGCCTCCATCGTAAGCTACAACCACCTAGGCAACAACGACGGCAAGAACCTGTCCGCCCCGGAGCAGTTCCGCTCCAAGGAAATCAGCAAGAGCAATGTGGTCGATGACATGGTTGAGAGCAACCCAATCCTCTATTCTCCGGGGGAAAAGCCCGATCATTGCGTGAGTGTCTTTTCGCAGCTGACGCTGCTTTTACTCCTTCCCATGGACCACAACGGGCCTATACGAGCCACAGGAGCCAATTCATATATCCGCGGTGGGCGAGAAGTCACGAGATGCTCCGAGCTATGTGGATTGGCTTTGGTAGCTGGCAGCGTTCGTCGCGGTACATTTAGATTCCCTAGTAGCACAATTAGTTCTGTGAACGTCCTCAGGATGCCCTAACGTTCTAGGGTTGTCCCAGGGACGTTCACAGGACATTTATGCTGCTTGAGTTTGTTTCACTGGGATGGGACCGGCTAAGTTCTAGGGCACAGAATACCTTGTTTCGTTTCGTACACCGATCATTCGTGGTGGGCAGGGCTGCGGTAGGGGATGTACAGGGAAGTGAGGGCCCATAAGGTAGGTAATCTTCACACGGGGGAACCTCATGATTGACGTCTTATTTTGTGGCTTTGCCAATGGCGCGGCCGCGAGTTATCGCGTCACTGGAATGGCTATCCTAAATATTAATGCCAGCAGACGACTCCACGCCGCCCTCCGACTCTCTGGGGCGCGGCCCGCAAGCATCCCGTGGCTGCGAGCCCCCGTTCCCATGCTTTGAGTGCTACACGCGCCATGAATAATAGTTTCATGGCGTTGATATCTTTTCGCTCGAGAAAGAGCTCTTCTCATATAACGTGTTCACACATTTTGCAATATTCTGTTTTTTTTTTTTACTGAAAATTGCTTCGTTTACTTATTTGCTTCTCGGCCCTTTCTCGCGTAGATCAACCGGGCTTTGCTCATAGGCCCATCGGCTCCATGAATATTTGGTCAGTAGGAGCAACTGCCAAAGATAAAGCTACCAGCGCAGGTTTCTGGCCGTCGGAAAATATCCCTCAAATACAAGTATTTTCGTATAATGCTGCTATAAAAATCATCAGGAAAGCAAGAAGTGCCGTAAAAAGAGATTTGTTGTCATGCCTGGTGCGCCTAGTAAAATATACAAAAATTAAACTTCTGGAAAATACGCCGAAATCGCTGCTGTCGCTACTCTGATTCTCAACTAAATGCGTTAGCATTTGGCGCAGGGGTTCCGACTCGGCGAAGGATGAGAATTCCAACTTCGCGACGGTTCGTACAGTGTTGTTTTCGGAGAGCCGGTCTGCTCTCCCGGGCGTCGGTGGTTTCGGATGCAGCCATCACAGCTTCCGTACAGTCCCGCTCCTGCGGCGCGTCATTGAAAGCGTGCCAAAGAACCTTTCCCTCTTGTAAGAAGACAAGCGGGCGTAACGAGCGAACGAACGAAGCGAAGGAGCACGGCAAGAACTGTGCACTGTGCCGCGGCATCATGAAGCCATTCTAGCCCTGTCCAGCCCAGTCGAAACTATAGTCCAAACCAAAGCACGACCGCTTAAAGGGACTGCTACATGCACCAAAACGATAAATTCTAACGCGTTCGAAAGAAATAAAATAGGCTTTGTTTGAATGTCAGTTTTCAGTATATTTTATGGTGCAGTTGTTGTCCAGCCGTATGGCCTCAAAACTATCGGATGCAAAATTTTGAATACTCTTGTTATCCAGCCGTCTGGCCTCAAAACTATTGGATGCAAAATTATGAATGTCATTCAAGCAGTTGTCAAATGAAAATGAAGAGGTGAAAAGCGCGCTATCTGTCGAACTGTCTTTTCTACATAGGAAAACAAAATGGCACTCCTGTGACAATCACTTTGACCACAATTTCTATAGTCTGGAATCATTACTGTGGCATCTCATGACACTCTCATAAAAGTATGTGCTCAGACTCTTGTTGCTTCGGATTAATTTTCGAAATCTGATGAAAGGGACCGCTTACCCCGCGCGCAGGTGGTGATCAAGTACGTTCCGTACGTGGGCGACAGCAAGCGCGCCATGGACGAGTACACGAGCGAGATCATGCTCGGAGGCCACAACACCATCGTGGTCCACAACACCTGCGAGGATTCCTTGCTGGCAGCCCCCCTCATCATCGACCTGTTCGTCTTGGCCGAGCTCTGCGAACGCATAGAGTTCAGCGTGGCCGGCAGCAAGCTGCAGAGCTTCCACAGCATGCTGTCGCTGCTCTCGTACCTGTGCAAGGCCCCCATGGCTCCCCCTGGAGCTCCCGTGGTGAATGCTCTATTCAGTCAGCGCTGGTGCATCGTCAACGTGCTCCGCGCCTGCCTAGGGCTGGCCCCGTGCAACTTTATGGACATCGAGCACAAGCTGAGCGATCATTCCGTTTGGGACAGGCCCAAGACGCTAGTGCCCGAGGAGACCGCCAAGAAGACCATGGCTAGGTCTCCGCACGAAGTCCGCACCATTGCGTGAAAGGGGCGGAACTGCGCTGTGTTGAGTTTGTCCAGATGCTGGCTCATTCGAAATTCCTTGATCGCTCGCCGGATAGCTCTAAAGGGAGCAGTCTTCGGACGTGAAGCTGGCGATGTTTATAATAGGTCTGACTCTGTATTTTGCTTCCCTTTCGGAATTTGTAAGGTTGCATGAATCTTCAGCAATGTTCCTTTCCTGTCTCAAGAATACTTTATTTTGCTTAGTTACTTGGCTTTGTTGGAAAAAGAAGTGAAACAAAGCAAAGGAGTGTTGCAGGGCGTGCGCGAAATGTTCTGACCGAGAGTAACTGTATGTTATTAAAACATACACATTTACTTTCTTTGAGGTTTAGAATGTGCGCATACAGAAGTTAACCACAAAACACTTTTTATGGTAATAAATTTATTTTTGAACCGATAAAAGACACTACTAAGGCACTTGCACACCTCAAGTGTTTGTGTAATGCATTCGTGTCTCGTACAGTAGTTTGTGGGTTACTCAAACCGACTAGCGACAGCAAACGATGTTTTGTATGTTTGATCTTGTTTCTGTGTATTCACCTAAAAATAAAGCCGATGGCGTTTCTTTTTCGTAGCATTTCAGTGTATCACTGTTGAATTTTGACAATATGTAGATTTACCTAATGGACAGAGCTCAGACGGAAGTAGATAAAATCCACATTCTCGCACCGATGCCTGTTTATGTTATGCTCAATGCCGCGGTGTATGTTTGCTACAGACTAGAGACAGCACAGCGGAAAACGAGACATGCGTCCAAACGAATTGCCCGAACAAAAAGAATCGTTTGGATACGAAATACCATTGTTGGTGGTAAATTAAGATGCTCTCCTAATCTAATACTTGTCAACAGCTCTATTACAAAAAAAAAAAGAAAAAGAATGTTGGGGCTAATTTATGCTGTGAAGGTGGTTCGACAGTGAAGTTGGGGTATCACATGCGAGGGACTGCCCGCTGTGCTATGGACCCTTTTCATGGCAAACACCATTAGGTGGTGCTTTGACGTCTTATAAAACTGCCGGTTTATAGAAAGAATGAAAAAAGGCAACCTTAACACCGCTGCTTCAAATGTATGGAAATCGCTTAACCACCAGGGCCCGTTTTCTCGAACGCGAACCGTGGTTTCAAGTTAACTATTGTCCCTAGAAGGGGGAATTCTAGGTCACGTGACTCGAAGAGCAGGGGCGCCGAGGGAGGAGCAGTACCTAGAAGCAAAATGGCCGCGGCGTCGCTTAATGAGGGCTAATAGTTCTGCTTGGTTCTGCTGAGCATTCATTTCGATCCGGCTGTTATATTAATGACGCACCACCAACCTTTTAGCACGTCAAGCAAAGCGATAGTTCATAGGGACTACTAAACTAACCGACGGCAGCATTCCGCGAACGCATCACTCTTCAGCAGTCCGGGATCCAAGAGATATGACGGTACTTAAGCCTTGCAAGTGTTTTTATGGTGAGTAAAAAAAAATTTTTTGCGAACGAGTGTTGGTGTATATTTATACACTATGCACGCCAACTCGTGAGCAGCGATTACTTTGCGGAGAAAGGGGGTTATCCTCAATAAAGTCTTCGTTCCGGGTGAACAGCTGAGACATTGTACTGTTTTTTTGTTCACAGTGCGCCGACGGTATTCCGACAGCATTGAAGTTTCTACATATCCCCGGTGGCCAGCAATTTAACGGTGACGAGAAGCTTAGCTTCTCGTCACCGGTGGATCGGTTGGGCAAACGGAAGAGAGGGCAAACAGTTGAGATCAGCAGGAATCGCAGAAACGTGCTTCGCAAGGAACAAAAACGAGACTACAGCACCGGCGTTGCCAGACTGGAAGGAACACGGTAAAGTTATGCGTTGTTTATGGCGAAACATATTGAAGGAAATGATTCTTATATTTTCGAATATTCGTCGACAAACTCTAGTATAGTAGCTAAAATTTCTTCGTACCATCGGAAGCAAATAAATTGGTCTTCAAGTACAACATTACTATATTTTGTCTTAAAATACCATACTAGATCGATGACAACCAGCGGAAAAAGAGGCTAAAAAAATAACTGGCTTGTTTCACCGATAGATGGCGGATCTTAATGCCCAATCAAAAAGAATTATTGTTGTTCTATATCCAGCCGTTTATTACACTACCTAGGTACTTTTCCCTTCCTAGGCACCGTGGTTTACCAAAATGGGTTTACCATCGCTTCGAGAAAACCGGCCCTGGTGGACGCCAAAAGAACGAAGGAGTGCGAGATCTGTTGAAGGGATACCGAACCAAACAATTTAACGTGCGTAATAAGGCGCGCGCTTAATTCTTTTCTTTCCACGAGCCAGCAGCCGTCGATGTGCGCGAGCGCACGCAACGAAATTGACGTCATAGTCCCCCAATCGCGCTTAAGATGACAGTGAAATGTACGGGCTCCGGGCAGAAGGAGAATAAAGACATGATTTTCATCGCCACAAGCGAAAGCTAAGTGTTTGTTACACCAATTAATCGCCTACCTTTTATCACTAGACACCCCTTGAGATGAAAAAGCCAGTCTTTTTTCTCATTCCCATCATCGAAGAAGAAGCCAACTGGGCGTAAGACGTGTCTTTTCGATCGTCCGAAAGCCAGCCGGACCAGTGGCACAGACCACGTCTTCGATCGACATGGTGCTCAGGCTGCTCAGTTACAAGCTGGACCGCAGGCTGAAAGACTCCAAGGCCCGCTTTCGTAAAGACCGCCGCTCGGCCAACACCGGCGCCAACCCCTGCAGCCCGCCCGCGGGGGTGATGGATTCCCTGCGTCGCCGGTAATTCGGCCGGCTACTATGCAAGTCGGACACGCGAGGAGCCCACTCCAGGTGTTCGAGACCGGCCTGCTAGAAGTAAGCAGCAAATGGCAGCACCGCGAAGACCACAACCGCGAAGAATGCTATTAGGCCTAACGCACATACCTAATCATAAGCACTCTCATCTTGTATATTACATCATCTTATAATCCCCTTCACTAGACGCGGCACCGCGGGCCTCCTTGGTACGGGCTGTTGCCTTTCTGCGGTGCCGCGGCTCTCCTGAGCAAATAAAGATTATTATTATTATTATTATTATTATTATTTTCCCCGGGGCCCATATTTCCCTGTCATCTTAAGCGTGAAGTGGAGGGGGGTTGCGACGGTCAATCTTGTTGTGTGTGCTCGCGCACACTGGCGGCCGTTGGCTTGTCGAAAGATCGTGCGCTGCTTAATTCAGACACTGAAATGTTTGGTTCAGCATCCCTTTAACATGTTTTGAGTGTTCTTGTAAGCCAACTTGCCTCCTCAAAGATGTAATATCGTACAGCCGAAGGCCCTCGTTAAATCTCCAACTTTGTTGTCCGTATAGCACATGTGCTTTCTAGCACTGGTGACATAAGCAAGCTCAACAGGGTTGCAAAGGCGGTGCGACCGGAAGTCGCTTGGGACGCAAGCGGCAGTTCATGCTGGTAAACAGCAAAAGGGTCCATGATTATTTTTATGGCAAACGCCACCAGATGGTGCTCCAGTCTTTGACGTCCCAGAGAACTTCCGGATTAAAGAAAGAATGGACAAAGGCTGCTTGAAATGTAGGTGAAACGTTTGACAACCAATTCTCCAGGTGAACGCCGAAAGAACGAAGGAGTGCGAGATCTGTTAAAGCATAGCCTCCTCTCTACTCACAAAGCCTGGCAGTTCGATGACGGAGGCATAGAGTCCCCGGTCACAGATTTGGAGCGCGAGGATCCGGTAGCACAGAGCATTTCTCGTAGTCTGGTATTCAGCACACAGCTTTTGCAGCGGCGAGGACCCGAAACATGGATTCAAACCCGACGAGAAAAGAAGCGGTAGCCCGAGGAATGCGAGAAGCACGAGCGGACATTCCATCGCTCGGGACAAGTGTGCGTAGGCGGCTCGCCGCAGCGGGGCGCCCGTTACATGACCCTTGTAGAGTGCCTTCATACACACGCGCGCTTTTGCTTGAGTGGTGACATCTCAGCCATTTTTCCGCCCAATCGTTTTTTTATGCATTTTGAAGTGCGCGCAATCCGGTGTCACTCAGCTCGAGCGCGTAGCTCTGGCTGATGCATTGACGCCATCTTACCGCCCAAGTCACGCACCGAGTGCGCGAGAGCGTCACGCGCTGGCACATTCCGGACAACAATGGATGTCTTCACCCTGAGACAGACAGACATCTAGGCACCCTAGACCCTTGTCTGCCGCTCTACCTGTTCACTTTCGGCGGCCGCGTCACGCGACGATCTGGGGCTCTAGTTCGAGGGATACTGAACCAAACAGTTTAGTGTCCATAATAAGTAGCGCACTTTCTTTCCACGAGCCAGCAGCCGCGGTGTGCGCGAACACACGCAACTAGATTGACGTCATAGTCCCCCATTCGCGCTTGGGATGACAGTGGAATGTACGGCCTCCGGGCAAAAGGAGAATAAAGACAGGATTTTCATCTCCACAAGCGAACGCTACGTGTTTGTTACGCCAATTAATCGACTAGCTTTTATCACCGGACCTTACTGTGGAGATAAAAAGTCTGTCTTTATTCTCCTTTTCCCCGGAGCCCACACATTTCACTGCCATCTTAAGCGTGAAGGGCGATCGATGGCCGAGTGGGCTAGCGCACACCAGCTCGGAGCACGTGGAGCGAAAGCTCGCGCTGCAGAATCCAGGGATCCTGGATTTAATCCCCACCCCTGCCCGTTTCGATTTGGATGAGCATCGTACAGGCGTGCGGTCGTGTATCACCACTGCGTGGTGCACGTTAAAGAACCCAGGCTTGTACTGCACTGGCTAAATCGCTGATCTAGAGCTGGGAGACTCGTCGCCCGTTGAGGCAGACTACAGCCACTAAATGAGCTGCGCTTAGAGTATCGGCACTCCGCTCCCCGACTTTGTTGTGGGCGCCGCCATTTTGGCTCGTATGCAGAGCAGACGAAACTGCCGATCGTCATGATTCAAAAGTGCGACTTCCTCAGCATTAGATTCGATGTTAGGAAGCTCATGTAATATTGTTTTGCTCTGTCGTAAACTGTTTGAACATTTGTGGATAGCGGAAAAGCGTTTCCTGTGATTTCAGATAAAGCTTCAGGTAACTGGCAACCATAATTCTAAGACACAATATGGCCAAGTGTCGTTACTCTGAAGGGTAGATTATTTAGTGGCACTAAGGCAGACCAAGTTCTAGGCTGTATAAACATACACAACACCTTTTTTTTAAGCGTGAATGGAGGACTATGACGTCAATTCCATTGCGTGTGCTCTCGCACACCAGCGGCTGTTGACTCGTGGAAAGGATGTGCGCCACTTATTATAGACACTGAAATGTTTGGTTCAGCATCCCTTTAAAATGCTGCGAATGTTCTTCTAAGCCAACTTGCCTCCTCCAAGATTTAATATTGTAGAGCCGAAGGCCCTCGTTAAATCTCCAACTTTGTTGTCCGTGAAGCATATGTACAAGGTGTCACAAAAGAAAATTTACACAGTCTTTTTTACCGCAAAAATAAACTAGGCATCGCCGAACGCTCATTCTCCGCCCAAAGGTAGAGCTAGAGGTCACAACCAGAAGCCAAAGTTTCAGCCCGATC